CAAATTTGCTGAGCGCCGTGTTCTCGGTTGCTGTGCCCCGTATTTGTCAACATTATCAACGACCCGGATTAAGTTGTTCGAGCAGACACAGCGTGACAACCACCCCCTCCCTTATGACAAAATTTTTTGGAGATGATTGAGATGTTTGTGATACACAGTAGGAGCGTAAACATCTGGGATTGAGAACTGGGATTTCGAAGACGGATTTTGAGCTGAAATGTGGTCAACTCTTTTTTTTGCTTGTGCATCATTAGCAAAATTTGAGCTTCAAGAATCCTAAACGATTCACATTCCGGGCATTTAAAGCATTGCCGTACTTCGCTTGTCTACAGTGTATATACCATACTTCTACTAGCAGCTCACCTCTTACGTGACAGTGCAATGAATTTAAAAAAATTCTAGAGGAGCATAAAATATGCCGTTCTTCTTATATCAAGAAGTGAATAGTTTTGTCGCGATGCTAATATTTTCATTTTTCCCTTTTCGTTTGGGATCTTCTTTTCATTGTTTAATTTTTGGCCCTCAAGCTGGTTCCAAAATGATGGTTTCCGGTAATAGTACGAAAAATGTTAGAGTTTGCAATTGTCATACTTAGAACGTAAAGAATATATTATACCGAAATATTTAACTCTGTCTTAGCTTTCGCCATAAGCTCTTACAATCATCTCGCTTGGTAGTAAGCTGTTCGCAAAATGTCGCATAATCTGCTATTAGTGATACCCGGCAGGTTAAGCACAAAAATATCAATAGGGTTATTCGTTAAAACAATACAAGCTCTACAAGATGGAGCTATATTCCGCTTTCAGTATGAATTACGCGAAGTTTCAACAAATCCGAGAAGGTTAAATATCTTTGAAAAATTGGCACTCCCCAAGTCAGACACTCGTATATGTACATTTGTGCAAATTTTGCTCTGAAGGCTAATGTTAAATATAGCTATTATAACTGCGACGCGTTCTTCCGAATAGAAAGTTATGAGCTTTTCTTATGCCAAATCTTTGAGCACTTTGAGTCGTAAAGTCACTGTAATTTCCACATAAAGGTATGTTTAGGTGTTTCCGAGTGCTTTTGAACATGTTGTAATCCGTAGATGGTCATTTTCCATCTAGACCACGCTTCTACTATAAATACAAAAGAGCCTATAGCTTTCTATAGGAAAACGCTACGTACGTAGATACAGAATCTACTAGATTGTGCTCGAGAAAAATCAAGCTACACAACTAAATCGAAAAACGCAACATATTTGTACCTTTTTTCTTGTATCTCGTATCTTAACCATGAAAAATTCCATCAGTGATACCGTAAATGTCTTGGGAGAATAAATGTGTGAATAGACATTCTTTGGTGGTCTTCTTGGCACGGCTGCATGTGATGAGGTATTATTTTTCAAACAAGCTAAAATTTCACGACTCATCATCATTTTTCGAATCACTCGTGCTTTTGCCCCGGCAGACCTCGACAAACATTGGCTTTGCAAGAATTGACATTTCTTCCGTTGTGCAGCCATATAATGACTTTTGAAAGGGGCGGTCCATAAAAATGAAAACGGGGCGTGGCGTCGTCATGTTGTGGCGAAAGAACATCGAAATGCACTTGTGTGTCGCATTGCTGAGACCATCAGTTGTCAAAGACCACAAAATTAAATTTTCATCTTCAAATACGTCCAAGTTGTTATACCAAACTCTAGTGTTGGGCATCTCGTATGCTATCATAAATTTTCTTTTTCATCCTTTTATTCGGTCATGCGCTTATGCCAAAATGGTGCAGCTATCTCGTCCATTAGCATTTATTACCCATTTATTACCCCTTGACTACCATAATATGCATTTTTCGACGGAAGATTGGGTAGTTCGGAGGCAGCAAGGCCCACTGAAGAATGGGTAAACACATAATTCTTTCCTAGATTTACCTCATTATCTTTTTCTTGACCGTCACGCGGTAATTACTTCGAGAGGCTTTCTTTCCAGGCTTCCTTGTCCTTCCTTTTCTTCCGCCTCTCTATTTCACATACTTTTCGTGCTAGCTTGTAGCATATCCAAATCGCTTCAAAAATGTTGAGAAAATAAATAGCGGACCGAAAAAGTAGTAGAAACGGACGTAAAATTTTCCACATAGTTTACATAAGTTACAAAAATTGTGTTAATGGTTAAGGTTACCGTAAATAATAAAAAAATATTGCAAAATTTCCAGAAACATCTTCCTCTAAAATTTTCAGATTACCTGAAAATCAAAAGGCGTGACGAGGTGAAAAAGTTTTCTGTTGTTCCCCTCCTCTCCCCCTCCCCTCCAAAAAAATTCCTTGAACTGCTGATGTTGTATGTTATACACTGTATGTGCTGTACTGTATCAAATGTGATAGATATTTTTTTAATGGAATCGAAAATCAGAAAAAATTTCACCATAGCTTTTTTTTGCAGAAAAACTAGATCAACAAGGATTTGATCTAGTCACAAGTAGGTCACAAAATCAAAAATAAAAATCGGATTTCTCTGAGCCTTCCAGAATTTTTTTGAAGTCTAGCGTTTGACATTTTTTCGTTTTTTATCTGCTTGAATTAAGAATTAAAATAAAATATTAGGTGGGTTCAAAAGTTCGTTCGCCAGTTTCTCAAAAAACATAACCTTCTTTCTTTTCAACGAATTTTCCTAAAATTTTTTTCTGTTCAAAAGTTGAAATCATGTTCTTTACACCTATTTTTCTGTTGCCGTGAACTAGTACGAATATATTCGAGAGTTAGAAACGACTGAATGATTACTCAGGATTAGTATTTTTCAAGCAGAGCCACGAAAAAAATAAAGTTCTAATTCTGACCTATCAAGTTTCCCTAGGATTTTCTGAGATTTCTTTTTGGAAAATCAGGATGAATTTCTCCACTTCCTAATACTTGTAATTTCTGCAAACGCTGATGGTCACATTTCCTCCTCTTCACCCATAGCGAAAGGGATAATTTACCCTCTACATTTCCTTTGGGCCTTTTTTTCCTCTTAGGCTGAAATCATTTGCCCTCTCAAATTACTTTTGCTAATTTGCAGCCGATGTGCGTCATCACTCTTCTGTTACAGTCATCTCTATGATTCCATTGCATAGCTAGAGCTATTCTTAGCCTATAACTATTTCCGTCTAGGAAATGTTTGCAAGTACAGCGATAGCGCATTTGCTGACGTATAAGCCTTATTATATTCCATTCTCTTTCACGTATGACTGATTTCATGACTAAAGTGCTCACCTACTTCATCCTGATTCTGTACTCAAAGAGTGCAAATGGTAATGTATGCCTTCTCAGGTAGCCTTTTCATACTTCTTGAATCCACCTTTAATATGATCTTTCTGCTCACTGTCCTTGTATAATCTTATTTGTATTGTTTCTTAACAACGTATTGAAGCACTTTCGGAATATTTCTGGAAGCAGTTTGATTTTACCACAAAATCTGTGCGATGATTCAGATGCTGTAGGTTTTTTTCCCATTTTATTCTACCACGGAAACTTTTTTTTAGAAGTGATGTGACCAAAAATTATAATTCGTAGTCAAAGCTCAAGGCCTGTATGGGTCAAAAGTGTATGCCAGTAAATTTTTAAAAATATTTATTTTTTCTTTAATACAAAGAAGTAGAGTTTATATGTTCATTATGCTTGAATTAAAGTGCAAGTCTCACACATCTTTGTCTATAGTTAGAGAAATTTTTATATTTATAAAAAAATCTTTTAGCATGTATTGAAAGTTGACGGTAAAGTTTCAAAATCTGCCAGTGATCTTTTAACATTAAGAGAATTTTTAGAGGTATGGCTGCTTTCCTGAGAAGAATTGTGCAGCCACTTTCCGCAACCAGATCAATAAATAAATAAAAATAAAGCTAGACCTCGAACACCAAAAAATCTCGAAAGTCTGCAAATGCACCTATCGTTTCGAATTTGACGACAATATTAGATGACTCTAGTAATGTATGGCTGCGCATTTATAACTTTGTGGCGTTTCCAATCTGGTAAGAAATTCCAGTCTTTTTTATTCAATTTTTTGAATTTTTTCGGATTAGTTCTCTCATATGTATCACAACATTTTGATTAGCATTCTAGGGCGAACTTTTATATATTTGAAAAATTATTCTTCTCTGTACAGTCTTATGCCTCAATCTTTTCGAATTTGTGCTTGTATATAATACATTTTTGCAACTCTTGCACAGTATTCCTCCTGGTCCTGAAACTTTACTCAACTTATTCTGGTCTGTGTCCTCATAGATTGCTACGCTCAAAGTTTGTTAGCCCCAGTTGTTGTGAATAAATGTCACGGCTTAAATGCTTCGCAGTTAGTTTAAAAATTTAGTACAACTGCCCTTATTCAGATTCTCACTTCCTTTTCTTATTGTAACCTACATCACTTATTCTATTTTGAGAGCAACAATTTGTAACAGAATAACGTCATCTATTGTTGCTTGGCCACCCATCCTCAGAAAATAGCATAATGTGTCTGGGTGACACCATATGAGACACAGAGAAAGGATTTAAGGAGGGCTAGATTTCGGCTGTCGTCGACAATTTCTCTGCGCTGTTATAAATTATTTTTTGAGGGTTGTAGTTACTGGGTGCTGGGCAATTTGTTTTCTCTGAATATGCGCATTTAGGAGAGCAAGGTAAATGGTTGTGGCAGGGCTAAACAAGAATTTATTCGAAACCTCCTTCTCATAGAGTTTTTTTGTCTGGAACCTTGTTGTGATTTTTTCTTCACCTCTAGCTTAGCGTCATCCAGCTTATCTCAAAAGATTCTTAGGCTTAAAAATAGATCTTGAACGCATCATCTGCATAAGGTAAAGTTCAGAGTTGCTCATGTGCCAAAGCTATTCCAACGCCGTTCCAGCGCAGTGCCAGTCATTTTCAACTCGCATTGCTTGATTGATTTTTGGCACGGCGCTGGCACGAGCAACTCCAAACGCAGCTACCTCACTTACTGAAATATCGTTTTTTAAATAAGTAGCTCCATATTTAATTTTTGAATTATTGCTTACAGACAGTATGCGTGAACGATCAGGCTCGATTTCTGCCGCACGTGCAATGATTCCTATGTGTCCGTCATTGATGCCATCACAGGTACAGAATTTTGAGTTTCGAAAACAAAAATTCTGATTTTATCCACCAGAAAATGCTTTTTTTTACAAACAGCCAGCTATTTTTGATAGCTAAAAATCACGAAACCATAAAATATTTTTACCTTACACAAGACTTTGTTACAACTAGCATCATTGCTTCAGAGGATCGCTTTGAAAATTGATAATTTCTTGGACCGTTTAGGTATCAGCCATTCGCAAATCATGGAGACATATCAACACAAAAGGCCTGATTACTGTGCTTTCACGCTGCTTCCAGAGGGTAAGCTTTAAATTTGCCAAAAATCTCGAAACTTTTTTTTGAGAAATGGATGACCCTATGATAACTCTGGGCGATATGGTATCTCTACGTTTAGCATTATGAAAACGAGCTTTCGATATCTTATTCAATTCATAGTTTTATCGATGGAAATGCGGAAGTGTGGTTTCTTTTTAGCTACAAATCAAGTATTGTTTTGTTGAAATGTAAAGCTTACAAAATGTTTCATCGCAAAGACTTTTGACTTTTCATTCACAGAAAGCTATGCCTTTAAAACATCTATAAATAAAAGTAATGCTTTAAACTATGAGCTAAAATCCCTGAAAGGAATTTCGACCAAAACTCTTGGAAAAAGCCTCATTTGTGCAATAATTCATACTCTTACGCTACCTTCTTGCGGTTTTTCCCAACGAAAAATGTCAGGTTGAAACAAAGATTCTGTCGCACATTTCTCATAAAATAGATTCTTAACAACTGAAGTAACTCACATGATTTTAATCTCTTTTTTTAAGGCTACGTATATCGTGAAAAAATTTGAATGGCATATGGCATTCGTTTAGATTTGTCGAGATTATGTCATGAAAACTTGAGACATTAAGTGAATGGATTTCCAAAAAAACTTGTTCTATGTTTTATGAGCTATTTTTCCTACTCTCCCATTCAACTTCTCTACTGTGTAGATGAAATGGAAAGAAAAGTTACAATAAGATATGGAGGACATCTGGAACAAGTAAAGCAAGATTTGATCTATGATCTTTGTAATATTAGGAAGAATAGGAAGCTATTTAGGTGTCTTTCGGAAATTTTCCGAAAATGTGCGAGGGAACTTTACATACAGAGTGTTCCAAAAAGATGTGCACACTGTTTGATCGTTAATAACTCCCTTGCTTTCAAGTCTTTTGCAGAGTTTTAGGTATCATTATGTAGAGCGAGGTTTATCTTAGATTTATTGTATGGAACAAATCACCAGTCACTCTTCATTACTGTAGGATTACGGTATGAACTTTCAGCATACAGCGTCACTGTGAAATAGGCCTTTTCGAAGAAATAACTTCTAAAAATTCTAAAAATTTGTGTAGCAGGGTTTTCAGGCGTGCTGATTTCACCATATAGCTTTCCACCAGTTTTTCAAGCTTTGATGATGTATTCACATTTTTGACGAACATTGGAAAAATAGTTGTCACCCTAAATCTGAAATAACTTATGAAAGAAGCACTGTACTAAAGTGCAATTCTTATGTTTAGAATTAGCGACTTAGATTAACTCATTAAAAAGTTTTTCGCCTGTTTGGCTTTTTTCTAAAGCAATATACCGCTTTTAATGGCTTGAAATCCTCCTCGAAGTTCCTACCGTAATCCTACAGTAATGAAGAGCAGTTGGCAGTTCGCTCCATACTGCAAATCTAAGTTGAACCTCGGTCTACAGAATGGTACCTCATGCTTGGTGAAAGACCTAAAAGCTAGAGAGTTATTGACGATTAAACAGTGTGCACATCTTTTTGGGACACCCTGTATGTCAATTCAATGATAATGATTGTTCAGATGTTACGATAAAAACTCTCTCGATGGTCAAATATTTCTTATCCAGTTTTTTTTTATTCTGTAGCTGCTTTTGCCTTACGATTTCTGGCTTGAAGCTCCTAAGACGCTAGTAAAGTTCTTTCTTGACATTGCATGAATCATAAGACGATTACAAGCAGGTGTTTATCGAAGATAGTTCTAGAACAATTATTTAAAGCGGTTTGGAATATGTAATTTGAACAATTGGCTTCGACCTTTTAACCTTGATACATGGCCGAAAGATTAATGTTACACAAGCTGAACAGGTGCTAGTTGTTGGCAGAAGGCTTGAAAAAAAATTGTGTTTTTATAACTAACATTCAAATGTAATAGTGTCTTGCTTTGAAGCAGTAAGCTATTTTTACACAGTTTCTTTATAGTAAAATTCATTCTTTGAGTTTCCGGACATGTAAATTAATCACTAATGAAGTTTCATTTTTGAGAAATATCTATTAGACCGACCAATAAAAACGTCAGAAATTGAGCACCTATGATAGCCTTATTTTCCATCTGCAGGTGATAAGAAATTTTTTGAAAATTTTCAACTTCACCTATGTCAAGAATTCGTTTTGTTCCGGTTCGAATGACTACTGTACAGCCATTCAAGTCCTTCACAAAAGAATCGGATTCTTCTTGCTACTATAAAAAAATCCAATCGCTGGAGTGGTGTAATGCTTTGTTTACGTGTTTGTTGTTTACGAAGCTTGAGCTAAACAACTAAACCTCGTCATGATGACGGCTTTGGAATTCCAAAGCCGCTGATATACTTGGTTGCGTAAAATTGCTCACAAAGGGGGTAGGAAGTTGATTTCTTCTCTTGGTTTCAACTTTAGAAGGGCGCTAGCTATAGTTAGGCTTATCAGGATAAGGTTCAATTCAATGGAAATGAAATTTATCAGAAATGGAATAGGCAGCTTACGTTTCATTCATCATAAGACATTACAACAATTTTATTCTCAAGCTCGAGGACCAATGATCTTTGATCTTTGCATCTTGACTCATTAGCAACTAATCAGGACACTGAATATAAGGCTTATTATTCAGACGCGGAAGTTGCCGCCTCTATGTAATTGCATGGAATAGTGTGTTGGTACAAAAAAAAATAATGAGATGTCAGATTGAGTCATATCAATATTTTCTACCTAAAATCATAAGTGCGCACAGCGTATTTGGAGCTCAGATAATTTTTATACTTTCTTCAAGAAATGAACTCAAGGGAAAAAAGCCAGAGCTTTTGTTGCCTTTGTAAGCACGGAAATTCAAGATGGACAGAGTTTCATGGAAAGAAAGAACTATGTAGAATATATTTTCAAGAAACTCGGAAAAGTTGGTAGAGCCACACTATAAAGCGGTTTTTTTGAATTTTAGAGATTCAAAGGAAAGGCATAAACTGGTAGAACATATGAAACAACTCAATACTTCCAAATATTTCCATTTTATCTTCTGGCCAAGGTTTCATGGAGCTTGCCATGTTTTAATGAACATCCGCAGTGTTGTTTAGGTAAAGTATGAGCGCGAAAATGAGGCAGTATCTGGGACATGAAATAAAATTTGAATGAACCTAAGGACTACTACCAGCCAGCACATCAATTTAGGGATTTTGGCATATGGATCAATTTTGAAGAAGGTTTGGAAAGTATCTGATTGTGAGTACTTTGAAAGAGCACTTTAAAGACCTGCTAATTTATTCGAACTTTTGCAAAAAATGATTTTAAATTTTGCCCAAAGGAGCACTCTTATTTGAACATAAGAAGTCTTCTATGTTTTGACCTTTATATACTTCTTAAGAACGGTTTTTGGTTTTTTTCCCTGGAGAATAACTGCCATAGATTTTTCCACTATCTTGCATATCTATAGAATTCGATCCATTTATAGGTAGTAAGAAGACGTTTCTTATGTCAGATAGATAATTTTTGGAGAAAGGAGACTTTATCTACTTTCAATCTCAAACAACATGATCGAGACACTTTCAAAACACGAGAACTGGTCCTCGGCTATAGAACACAATGTTAGCAATCACTGTTTATCAACTTTATTTTCAGCTCGAATCTTCTTGTCCTGTGGCACAAGCATGTTTCTCCTCGCAATCTCCATCGCCTTCGAATGCTCAAAGTCCAGTGAGGACCGTAGCAGATCATGCGAGATTTTTGCTCAATCTGCTTGACAGAATAATTGATGCTGAGCAGGTGAATTTAGATTATGAGATTGACTAATGAGATGGAAAATGAGAGATCAGTGATCTATGAACTAGTATGGTAATGGTAGGACTTCTCGTATATCAGTTTCGCGGAAAAGAAAAGTTGTTTCTTCTACAACTGGAGAGATTTGTCCACAGGCCCACCGTCAAATTCCATCGAATTTTGTAAAGATTTTTAGTGGAAAAATTATAATTGAGCTGTGAACTGTTTATCAGCAGCTGCTTCCAATTACTTGATGTTTGTTGACGTATGCATAGCTGATAAATTTTCTTCTCTAGACCACAAGAGGGGTTAAACAACCCTGGGGTATAGGCACGAGAGACGGGGGAGGAAGGAGGTTAAGAAGCAAATTCCTTGTTCGAAAATCTTTTGATCATCATTATCGCACCTTTACTTTGTCTTTTGATGTAAAATCAGACATAGGCAAATTTTTTACAGAAGAACGAAAGAGCAAAGAAAATAAGTGATTGTCAAAAACCAATTACCGTAACCTCATCTTTGCAGGACCTCGAAGAAATCCGTGAAATTGGCGCTCGACATGTGCCGCTAAAACATGAATGTGGCCTTGGTGCGGCTGAGCTGGACAGATTCCAAGAAATTTTTGTCGAAGTGCTGCTGAAGCAAGATGGAATACGGCAAAGCAAGGAAGCCAGGTAAGATTTTGCTGAAAATAACTAAAAATCGTGGGGGGGGGGGGATGAGAGGAAGTGAAATAAGCGCTGTTGAATTACAAAACGAATTAATGTATTCCCTTATCGTAATTGTATATTATAATTGCCACGTAGTACATACACAGTCTGTCTAAGCTGCGATTCATTCGCTTGCAGCTACGCCTTCGCAGCGCAAAGCCCTCGCGTGGCGTGTGCGCCAATTGAGACACTGCAATGAAACAGACAGTAACTTCTCTGTCAAAACTTTGGAGATCAAATCGATAATTACACATAAAATGCGGAAGCTTTCCAAATTTAACGTTTTTTCTAACATCTTAAAATTTTGCATATTTCAGTCGTGCTTGGCGCATTCTTATCTGTGCGATAGTGGATCTATTTCGAGACGGGTTCGAGACACAACTTCGTCAATTCAGACGGAAACACTCATTCAATGCACATACGGAGTATTTCGAGAACATAGAAAGGTTTGTTCATTTCTTATCGGATCTGTAAAATTCCTAGGATGAAGGAGTTTGAATTTACATTATTTTTGACATATCCGGCTTCACGTGGAGCTTCTATGGAAGCTTTCATTTTGATATTCGCTACTGAGTGCTGAAACTCAAAACATAAATTTGCTGACTTACATACTATTTGGTGGCTCTCCTGAGCGAAAAGTGCAAAATATACATGAAATAGTAGCAGCCAGCAATTTCTTTTAACAACGTTCTTTTCTATCCATGTCAAACTCACACATACTACCTGCAAAACCCAGAGCTGCAAAAATCAATGAATCGTGATGATTTATCAGAAATAAGACTTAATCGATCGAAAGTCGATAAATTTTTTCCAATAAAGGTAGAATAATTTGTCTCCAGTGTATGTGTGGCCCCATAAAGGAACATTCTTTGAACACCATGACGGGCCGCAAAGTCTTTTTTGGAGATGTAAGGGGGGGGGAGGGTTGACGGCGCGACAAAATTTTTTTTGCGAATGAAGAGGCATGTAGCCCGTTTAAAAAAATTCTGGGATGCTAAGCAGTTTTCTAGCAATTTTATGACCATAATATTATAATTGAAGGTTCTTAAAGGAGTTGATTTATGTTTAGGGAATCTAAATAGTATTCGAATTATTTCTCAGTGAGAAGAGTCAATTACACATCTTTATCTTGTGGAGAACATCTAGAAACATGACCCAATCGCAAGGGCCCGCTCCGCCCTTCCTTGGTCCACCACTGAGATAAACAGCATTTTATAGAAAACAAATTTTAATTTCCTAGAAGTAAAACGTTGTCTTTCTATTTTTGATGAATATTGTAGACCACTGAATTTGAAAATTATTGCAATTTTCCATTCCAGACGTGCTTCGCTCTGCCCCTATCGCAAAGCGTCGCTGAACGTGGATCCACGCTTGGACACCTGTACCAAGAAGCTTTCTCAGCTCAACGTATGAACATAATCTTTTGTGACGATATTTTTATTGAACTACATGTCATGTACTCTTATCATCTTGTCTAAAATATTTTGATCCGATTTATAAAGTCACGTTTCATTCATTTCCTCAAGCTTCCTTTATTCAAGCTTTCATGCCCGCAGTACGCATGTCGATTACGCTGTGATCTCTAGCACTATATCTCTCAAAATGATCTTATTTAGCAGCAAATATGAAAACCATACTGTTCTAAATTCAGAGTCATTTGTAAATAAAAATTGTTGTTGTGTCCAAAATAAAGCAACTAATGTCTTGAATAAAAAGGAAATTCGACGGTTTTGTGAGCTTCCCATAGAGCAGTTGTGTCCTTGTTAATGAGCAGAATATTGTTGAGAATAGTAATAGTAGAGAAAGCTGTGTGGTCCTTATGCGATTAAGGATCAAGGCAGCGTCAGTGTCAACGCTGTTCCAACGTCGTGCCATTGTCGCGCCATCAGGGTACTCTGAACCAGGGCACGGCACAGGTGGCTTAGCAAGCAAGCTGGATATCGTTTTTGGGGAAAAAGCAAAGGGGATATCGTTATTGCGGAAGAGCATAACGTTGTCTTCCGATCTGCGGCCGGCACGCTGCCGGCATGCCGCCAGCAAATAAACAAAGAGTTTGTTTACAGCGAAGTGAAGGTGAAATGACACCAAAATAGGTGTGTAGATGGGCAATGGGGAGTTAGGACTAAGTATGAAAAATTATGAAAAAATTATGTGAACTAAAGGCGTGCTCGACTTTTTTCGGAGTTAGGTGGCTTTCAAGCCACCTGGATAGCCACCTGAGGTGGCTTAGGAAAGAAAAAGTCATAAATTTTTCCTCCCTCACATAATTTTTCTACTTTTTTTACATACTTCTCATCTACATCCCAAACCCTACAAACTGGTTGCTTAACCGCCTCAAACCCCCTTCTCCCCGCTTAGTTATAGCCCCTCGAAAATTTTGATTGGTGGCGGAAAGGCTGCTTTAGGCGCGTATTGCTGCACGATGGATACATCATGCCGCCAATCCGGAGAATATGAATATCATCGCGTGTGTTCGATGATTCTTTTTCGTTTTTTTCCTACTATTGCTTTGTTCCGTTCCATTTCATGTAATTTCTCTTCGAATATCTCGTGGCGGATGTCGTAATTTCATTGAAGTCAAAGGGGACTTCATTTTTTGCAATTTCGGGACGCCACCTCGTGCCGAGCCCTGGTCTAGGGTCAAAGGGGACTTCGTAAAAAATCGCAAAAGTCAAGGGGGACTTCGTTTTTTGCATTTTCAGCTAGCCACCTCGTGCCGAGCCCTGCTCTGAACACTCTAAACACTACTCAGCGTTATCAAACATATCCCAATTTCCATCGAGAAGCGAGAGTGAGAAGAGTCATAAACTATTGACCAAATTTTTTAATAGCCAAAGAAGAAAAAAATTCTTATCTGACCTCTTACACAAATTCACCTATATTTTTCTATAGCATTTATACTACCAACAAACCTCTCATACATTTGAGTGAGAGTATCCTTCAAGATAAATGTACAAATACACGTACTACCTTACAAGATTATGCAAAAAGAGAATTTTGGCTAAGAAATGAGCCCTGGACTCAGAATGGAACAAAAACATGAACTTAAGTGGAAAAGAGCTTGCTACATCCTGACCATTGACTGGGTGACAAAGCATAGGCGAGGACTTCTGAATTAAGCTTTCAATTTAATAATCTTGGTTATTCTTTGCCAGAGTAATTTCTGTCGCGATCACATTTCGAAATTTTGAGCAAAAATTTGATCAGGTACAGTTCAGCAAGGCATCAACTTAGTTATGTGCAAACAAATTCTGATTGTGGTCTTTCACGTAAAAAGCATTATTCTCTTTTAAATCATCAAAGCAAGGAACTACAACGCATACTAGTACGAGGCCGTGTACCCAGTTTCCCAAATTTCATCAAAGTAGAAATGAAGTACCATCGAACTTGGTATTTCATGGCTAGCACTAAAGCAGTCACTGGTGTTAATGCTTTTAGCAAAATTTGGGAAGAATCTTCGAATTTTTGGAGGGCTATGGTGACTAAACCAAACCCTCACCTTAAAAAGAAATTTCTCATGCTTGTTACTAACAGGGAAAGGATCCTAAGTCGGAGTCACCTTTTCATCGAGATCCATATATTCTTCGTATCGTCAAACTCTGATTTCAAGTACGTTTTTCTTGTCTGCGGAGCGCTTCTGGGTGACGATTATGAGCGTTTTATCATTCAAAAAAACTGAACGCTTGATGAGAATAAAACCGAGTGGCAGCCTTTCCAAATCGCAATGGAATAATGGCGAGCAAGAAAGTTGCAAGCAAAAAATTTCCTCTTTATAGAAAGGTTTAACAGTCACCATGTTCCATTCGAGCTCACCAGAGACTTCTATGAACGATTTTCTTCTAAATGTTGTGCAGCCGCACAAGAAACCAATGCTCGAAAAGAATGAAGGAATATGTTGATCTGTTGTTTATGATATGTGATATAGTTGTGTGCACTATATATAGGCATTCCTTAGTAAGTATAGATTCTTAGTTCCTTATCGTCAAGTAAAGAACTCGGTCTCCAATCGTCTTCCTACACACGCCATGGCAAACACAACAACTGGCGATCAGAACCCGAACCCGAGCCCAAACCCGACCCCCAACATGGACCAAACCCACCTTCTGATGCTACAAATCATGGAGCTACGGAACGAAGTAAAGAAGAAACAAGGATCCAGCGAGGATTACGTGATGAATGCACTCGCTACTCATCTACCAGAATTCGATCAGAATCCGAACCCGAGCCCGAACACGGACACGATCCACTTTCTAATGAAGCAAATCATGGAATTGTGGAAGTCTTGTCGAGAACCCATGGCTGAACTGACGAAGCAAGAATCCAACGAAGAGTACAAAGACTACTTGGAACTGCAGAATCACATACAGATGATCGACAAAGCCAAGGTTCCTCAGGTCAGCGTGAATCAGATGAATGAGAACCCGCAAGTCAACGCGATGCAGCGAGACGAGAAGCGGAAGCCATTCATCGATCACAAGCCCAGAACACATCTTTGTATGAACTGCAGAGCGAAGACCCATAGGACCAGGAAGCGCGAGAAGCCGATCACTGAATGCAACTACTGCAAGAAACGTGGACATCTAGAGAGGTACTGTCTACGTAAACTATTGTCGATGAAGCCAAGGACGTCCATCCTGTCGTCATCTCACCGCCTAAAGAAACGAAGTCGTACTGCAGTGTGGAAACCAACAACACAAGTATCGAGTTACGACTTGACTGTGAAGCTGAAGATCGCGACACATGGATCAAGACTGGCCGACCTGAGCTAGAAAACCCGAAACATAACCTAAATGCGGCCAATGGAACCAGCATTACATGCCACGGACAATGCACATGTGAGCATGCGCTAAGTGGCATTAGCTTGAATGGCACCACAAATGTCGTTGATGGACCACCTCTACTTGAAATACACTGGAACCAGAGCGACCGTGCCTTTCACGATGACATCGGCTGTCACAGTGTAAATGCAGTGACAGATATGAACGGTACACTCGACAGGAAGAAAACTCACCTGACAACGCAGTTCGCAGAAGCCGTTCAACTCAAAACAGAAAACGGCACGAAAGCAACGGCTGCCTTTGTGCTCGGTAAAGAGGATGCAAGCAAGATATTCGGCAAAACTCGTTCAAAGTCCACACAATATGGAAATGCGGAGGTACATGTTTCTTATGATATTACTCAATTCAGGACAGCCGAAATCCGCAATTCTGCAAAACCCAGACAAGTTCGACTTACTTGCCATCAGCAGTTTAGTGAACAGGCCGAAAGAATCGTCGACAACTTCCAGTGCCTAGTATCCAAGCCGAAAAGGGAGGAGACGTTAGCCGAGGCGGTGCAAAAGTTTCCCATGCACTGTCGCGATATATCAAGCCCAACTTTGGATGACTGCTCCTTTGGTGAGATGTTCACTGAATACAAAGTTTATATCGCTCCAGGTCCACTGTACTCGGCTGACGAGAAACATAAAGTGCAACCTAAGAAGATGAAGTGTCAACTCAATTCTCAGCGCGGAAAGGACCCACCGCTTCACTTAGAAGGGGAGGTGTTGTGCAGCCGCACAAGAAACCAATGCTCGAAAAGAATGAAGGAATATGTTGATTTGTTGTTTATGATATGTGATATAGTTGTGTGCACTATATATAGGCATTCCTTAGTAAGTATAGATTATTCTTAGTTCCTTGTCGTCAAGTAAAGAACTCGGTCTCCAATCGTCTTCCTACACACGCCATGGCAAACACAACACTAACTATGCGTTCAATTCTCCGCTACAAAAGCTCTCAGGAATTCTTGTCCAGAGGGACTCGCAGAAAAGGAATACGGTTTGAAATTAGCGTTCGATGCCCTTCAAGAATATATGCATTTCTTCTGGAAAGGCCACTTCGACTAAGGTTCCTTCCGTGCAAGGCAGATTTTTTACAAATTTCAATTCTCGCCTTTCAAGCTCAAATAGAGCCATATGGGAGAGGGGTGGGGTTAGGTGGAATTTTTCATGACCATACAAACACAAAGTGACGCCAGAAATAATGAAAATACCTACCCTAACAGTCCCTGATAGTGATTTGCTGCTGTTTGATCAGCTGAGAAATCATTACTAGCTTCTGGTTACTAGATGTAAAGAATTTTTCGTTGGGTCTCGATTACCTGACTTAAGGCTAAACAGCAAAAATTTCCTGTGTTCGCTACCAACTAGCTAACTATTGCATTGATTGAGATGAGTTAGTAAAAGTATATACAGGGTGTGCCAAAAAAATGTGAACACTGTTTGGTCGTTAATAATTCCCTTGCTTTCAAGTCTTTCGCCGAGCTTGAGGCACCCTTCTATAGGGCGAGGTTCAACTTAGATCTACAGTATGGAGAGAATCATCGATCATTGTTCATTACTGTTGGATTACGGTAGGAACTTCGATGAGGATTGTAAGCCATTGGAGGCCATATTCGCCCCGGAACAAAATCAAACAAGCCAGAAACTCTTACAGTATGGTAATGGAAGCCGCTGATTTCGAAAATGTGATTCCCACTTTACTCTGATGCTTTTTTCCAGAGTTATCCCAGGTGAACCGTAATAACTAAATTTCCAACATTTGTCACAAATGTGATTACACTATCAAAAAAGCTGAAAAAACTCGTAAAAAGTTGTGTAGTGGAATCAGGATGCGCAGAAACCCTAGTAAACGATTTTTCAGATTTTTACAAAGAAAAAATGTTGTCAAACGGCATATTTTGCATTGGTTCCACATGCTAGAAGTTCTTAACGTAATCCTACAGTGACGGAGACCAACCGCTGATTCGCTCCATACTGTAGATCTAACAAGGGAAGGATACTCGATCGCAGTGACGATTGGGTAAGCGGTGTATACCGCGTACACCGCCCAGATCCCCAGACGGTGATCTCTAAACCGCACTCCATATCTACTATGACGGTACTCTGGAAGCTATGAAGGAATTTGCAAAACGCAAAACCGACGGCATCGAACCCTCGACATCTAGCTCAACAGTCAAAGCCACTATCCACTGCACTAGTCAACAACTACGGATTCGAGGCAAGTGTAGTACTTGAATGCGCTTGCAGCACCAAAAATCCTTTATAGCTTTTCCAGAATGACGTCATAGCAGAGTGCGATTTAGGGATCATCGTTTGGGGACGGTATACGCGGTATACACCGCTTACCCAATCGTCACTGCGATCGAGTATCCTCCCCTTATAAGTTGAACCTCGCTTGACAGAATGGTTCCTCAAGCTCGGCGAAAGACATGAAAGCATGGAAGTTATTAACGATCAAACAGTGTTTACATTTTTTGGGACAATCTGTATGTTATAGAGACAATTTCCTTGCATTGCTGTATTTTTTTCAGTATTGGAGTGAGTCTCTAACTCTATGAAACTTCTTGATGGCCTTAAGTGTAGGGATTTGGGACTTCAAGATTGCAAAATGACCTCAGCAGAATTCGTTAGTGCCTTAACGGAAGTTGTTTCAATGGTTCAAACCGCTAGGAGGCGACTATTCAGACTTGTATGAAGGCGAACCGAAAAAAGAAGAGAACAAAAAGAATTTTCTGTAAGGTTAATTTTGAGCTTGTAAGTCGGAAATCAAAGCACACTTTGTGCATTAAGCATATTTGAGAGTTACAACTGACTCCACTGCATAGATTACACCGAGTGTTCCTTTTTGCGATATGTGATCTTAAACATTGTAGATCGAATCGATAATTTTGATAAAAATGGATCGAAGGTGTCATTCAATAAAGCGTGCGGATTCCATTTTCACTCGTTGATGACATTTCTAGCCTTCGAATGTTTCTATGGATTTTCGTATCAAAGAATCTTTACAGATTGATAAATCTACCGACATCGACAATTTCGACAACATCTGCCGTTAGAAGCTTTTTCAAGGGTTTTGTGAGTTTTATAAATCACTTTTTGAGTAAGTTGGTTAAAAAGAAGACTTTGATAACAGTTTTGAAGCAATCACGCAATTTATCCATGAGTCCATCTGCAATTTCAGTATCTGCTCGGGTACAAAAAAAGATTTTCTCATTTTATATGTTTCTGTCCGTGTTGGTGCTTTTTAGCTCATAAGCTATGTACGGTGAAGCATTGCAGCTAAATCCTAGTGATTAGCTCAATTTGATAATAGTGTAGTGAAACTTATTTGAGACAGTTTATAGAATCTTCTTTATCTTATATATAAAGCTTTATTGATTTCTGGAACTTTTAGTTGATGGGAGATTCTCATGCTATTACTGAATTCATCGATATATCGCTAACTTGGCTGGGCTGCTGAGAGTCCGTGGGGGTTGAGTCGATGAAAAACGTTAACATTAACCTTTGACTGCTTTTACTACAGTCATTCTGCACCTTCCGCTAGCGCAAAAGTAAATACGCACTGTAGATCAGAAGAAAATTGCAAATTGAGATTGACTAATTAACGCTTTTCTAACGCTTTTCGTAATGGGGTAAGTAATCTTCTCTATCTTCTCTATATGTATATATAAAGCAGAAAATCTGTGTGTTTGTGTGTTTGTGCACATTTCCCATAGTCATGAGGATGAGCGGTGGAGCTCATTTTGATCTGCTAGTTCAAGATATGGTAAGGACGGTGGGAAGCGAATACAAGACGAGTTAGAATCAGAAGAAGAGCGAATTTCCACACGAGAAATCAAGCGCGATGAACTGGCTCCAGAACGGGGTAGAACCCGGGATGCCAGCTCGTAGTTGTATAAATGTGAAAAGATTATTGATTTCTATGAAATAATTAAAGCGACTGTGGGTCTAATGACCGCTACTTTCAAGGTCAGCGTGCACACACGTGGATGAAAATGAAAATTCATATGTATTAGGTTGTCCCAAAAGTAAATTCCTCTTTGAATCAATTCAAGCTGATTTTGTTTTCCTAGTATACTTATAGCATTCTTTAGAGCAGATCAAGTACAAAAAGACCACCAAGGATCCGCATTCCATGTAAAGTTTGAGACCGAAATCGAAAAAAATTTTGTCACCTGAAAATTGGATTTTTACGAAAAAAATTCTTACGGATCTCCAACTCGGTCATTATACATCGCGCACACTGTACTCAATAAGCCTTTACTGGATTTTTCCGGGCATAGAAAGGTAGAAAAATAAGATAGTTCAAAAATTGTAAACTCCGCCCCGAGCCCCTCTCGCATATGTCACTTATACTTTGAGTCTTGCTAAGCATGTATTTGAAAGTTTACCCCTGTGTGTGCTCTTATAATCAAGAGATATCAACTGTCACACGAACCCGAAAAAAGACGGCATTTTGGCATTTTCGCACCATCTTTGCTTCTCACTTTTGGTCTCCGGAAAAAATCCATCAAATACATTTGGGTACTACTATGTGTATAATATTAGGTTGAACCGAAAGTTCTGTCCCTCCATTTTCAAAAATTCGTAACTTCGCCAGATTTCAACGGATTTGCTTGCTCGTAATTTTATTAGAAAGAATAGATCTTCCGCTTTCAAGCCCTGTTTTGCGGAGCTTCTGTTTCACACTGAGTGCCGAGATAAAAATGGAAAACTAAGACCATGTAAACTTTGACCATTTTAAGTTAGGTCACCAAAAATCTGGAATGCTGCAGAAAAATCTGAAATCGTCAGTACATATGTTTTTTGGCCTACCCTTTGCATCTGTGAAAAGTTTGTGTTGTTTGGACATCTCTGTGAGAAGTTATGAATATCGAGTTTACTATGGATAACGCCAAAATTAATTAATTTGGCAATTTTCGTGAAAATCATAACTTCTCGCAGAAACGTCCAAACAGCGCAAACTCTTCACAATTGCAAAGAGTAGGCCAAAAAACATATGTACTGACGATTTCAGATTTTTCTGCAGCATTCCAGATTTTTGGTGACCTAACTTAAAATGGTCAAACTTTACATGGTCTTAGTTTTCCATTTTTATCTCGGCACTCAGTGCGAAGCAGAAGCTACATAAAACAGCGCTTGAAAGCGGAAGATCTATTCTTTCTAATAAAATTACGAGCAAGCAAATCCGTTGAAATCTGGCGAAGTTACGAATTTTTGAAAATGGAGGGACAGAACTTTCGGTTCAACCTAATATATTAGGTTGTCCCGAAAGTTTTGTCGGTTTTTTCAGACCAATGTAAAACCACGCACAATAAAGACCTGAGTGAGTTTCAACATGCATTCGATGCAGCTTTTCCTTCTCTTTCTTATAGATGCACTTTCATACCATAATGTTGTATGCTTTCTTTGGTAATTGCCGAAATTCTCCACCTGTCAATTTTACCTGCTCAAAGTTGAGCTAATTTTTAAAAATTTCGTTACAAAGTTTCGAAAAAGATCAAGTATGGGTCAAATAGAACAACTCTCGGGCTACAAGATGGTATTTTTAGATTCTCCTAATTTGCTGATTTTGGCTTCAAAAAATTATTTCTTCTGAGGTCTCGATTTTTGGCTAAGTCATGAAACGCGCAATTGCAGCTAAAGCATGAAAGCTTCTGAAGGTTTTGCGAATTTAAACTTGATTGTTATTAAACATTATTAGTGCAACATAACCAAGTTTGATTTGCTTCGAAAATTAGTTTTTTGGAATTTTCGGTAATTTTACGTGATAAAACGTGTTCAAAAAACCGCGGTTTTTCTCAAATAAATAATTATTACAGACATTATAAACGTGGCTCACATAATCTAAAATAGCCGCAATGTAGCCAAAGATTTGCCCTACATAACAGTCACCAGCGCTCGTCAAAAATATCAAGATAAAAATTTTGAAAATTCGGGAAAGTTTTGGCGTTACTGCTGAAGTGCTCAAAAAGCCATGGCGATAACATCGCAAAGACGGGGTAGATCAGGGAACAAATGTAGCTATAAGAAAGAGGATAAAAATGTGAATAGAATGATACCTAGGCCGTTCATGGAATGGTGTTCTGTGAGGTTTGGTGAGCGATGAAAAAAACCGACAAAACTTTCGGGACAACCTAATATAAAGACCAAGTTGGAAGTTCGTGGGAATTTTCTGGAAAAAGATCCTTAGGGTAGCTGAAAAAATTCTTTGGCTCCAACTTTTACCTGGATTACGACTTACGCGGATCCACGATGGTCATTTTGTAGAGCTTGCTCCGCTCTATAGAATGGTAATTTAATTTGTTAAGAAAACAAAAACAGCTCAATTCTTAAAATGGAGTTCACTTTCAGGACAACCTAATAGAATGTTTCAATAAAGTAAGCTGTAGTTGAGCTCCTTTCTCTATTCTGTCTTCATGGATTATAATTAAAGAAAAAGATGCGGCAAAGTATATTCTCATACATTTGAGGCATTTCTGATCGAAAGGATACTCAAAGCCTACATCTCGCTTAGGGCTCACGAAAAAGTGGGGCCCTCTTACTTACAATACATTCACCTGTATCACCTGTATCCCCGTTGATCATCGTGTTGCACGAGCGGGTACCAGTGATGCCTCCATTCGTCCCTGTCTCGGGCGATTGTTGACCAATGTTTACGTATCGCACCAGGAACACGTGGAACGCTCTGAAGGACTTCATTAAAGGACTTCGTGAACATATCTGACCATCGCGTCGGCGGTCTTCCTCGTTCGCGTTTGACGTCCAGTGGTATCCAATCTGTTACAGCTCTCGTCCACCGGTTGTCGTAGAAACGCATTACGTGCCCGGCCCATCTTATCTTGTTCTGCTTGGCGTACGCGGCAGCGTCCCTGATCTTCGATCGTTGACGTAGGGTAGAACTTCGTAATCCTTGCCTCACTTGCGTGAGTCGATTCACTCCTAGCATCACTCTCTCAACAGCTCGTTCGATGACGCTAACCGCATGTTCATCCTGCTTTCTCATTGTCCATGTTTCTGAAGCTTACGTTAAAGCAGGAAGAACCGTCGAGTTGAAAAGGTGGGCGCGGAGCCGGATGTTCTTGGTCTTCTTCACTACGTCCTCAATTGTCTTATATGCTCCCCATGCTGCACGTTTCCTCCTGCTCAGTTCCGGAGCTAGATCGTTCATCATATTGAGTTCACGACCTAGGTAGGTGTAGCTTGAGCATTCGGTGATGTTCGTCCCGTTGAGCATGAAAGGAGCATCAGGCACTCTTCCGTTCCTCATGAACATCGTCTTTGTTAGATTCAGCCGTAGACCGATCTTTCCACACACTTCGTCAAACTGGGCCAGCATTTGTTCCGCGATGAGCGTGATGCTTGGTGTTATCAATACGATGTCATCAGCAAAGCGAAGGTGGTGTAGCTGCCGGCCGTCGACTTTCACTCCCATGTTGTCCCATTCCAACTTACGCATGACGTTCTCCAGAGCGGCACCAAATAGTTTCGGCGATATAGTATCGCCTTGTCGCACGCCTCTCTTCACGTCAATGATGATGTCCTTGTAGAATGGTGTTATGGTTGTTGTGAAGTCGTTATACAGCTCACGGAATATCTTGATGTAATGAGTCGGAATACCTTGATTGCTCAAGGCATCGATGACGGTTTCAGTCTCAACCGAGTCAAAGGCCTTCTTCAAGTCGATGAAGGTGAGACAGAGCGGCATCTTATACTCTCGTGACACTTCAATGAGCCTTGACACCGTGTGTATGTGGTCGATCGTGCTGATTCCTCTTCGAAACCCAGCTTGCTCGCATGGTTGTCCTTCGTCCAACTCTCTTCCGATCCTGTTGAAAATGACTCGCGTAAAGAGTTTGTAGACTACAGACAACAAGCAGATAGGGCGATAATTGCCGATGTCGCAGGGATCTCCCTTCTTGTACAGCAACACGGTTTTGCTGGTCTTCCATTGCCTTGGAACCTTGCCTTCCGTCAGGTACCGCGTGAAGAGCCTTGCCAAAGTCTTGATGAGAACTGGCGAAAGATTCTTCAGATGTTCTGGCTTAATCCTGTC